CAGTGTCCAGGATGTCCATGAAGGAGTGCGGGGACCAGTCCTGGAAAGCCATGCTCTCAGCATTCTCAAGTCTGAACCTCGCCGAAGTTCCGAAGCCGCTCAATACCCCAAGCGTCTCAAGCCATATCCAAGACTTCGAGGTCCTCTTCGGGATAGGCCCAGAGGTTAAAAAGCGGCATGATCATGACCTTTTGGCAGGGTCAAGGTTCCAAAGACTCAGGCCGTTCCGGGGTTCTGGGAGGTGAAGAGCCCGTGATTGTTCGGAAGCGCACGAGGCGGCGCAAAGCACGTGAGAACCCAACCCAGCTAAGCTAGAAATACAGTGCTCGGAACTTCTGAACCTTTAGGTAAGTTTGCATGCCTGTTCTTTTCTCGGGGAGTTCTTCTTGGGTCTCGGCCTTGTAAGGATTTGTTAAGCCAAAATAGACCTCAGTTTTCACTACCCTCTCTAAAAACCGGACTTGGACGTTGGCGAAGCCCCCGACCTGCCCCCACTCCCCACAAGGTGTGGGTGGGTAGGTGTGTGGGTGTGTGGGTGTGGGGGTGTGGGGGTCTGGGGGTGAAGGGATGTGAGTGGAAGCGTGCACCGGAGCGTGTGGGCATTGGCGTTGCCGTCGGTGTAGGCGTGAGCGTGAGTTGTGTTGGTTGTGTGTGAGTGTGTGTGTTGTCTGCGTCTTCTGTGTGTCGTGTGTCTACTGTGTGACTCTCTGTCTCCGTGCTTCTGCTTGTCTCTATGCCCGCCATTCAAGCCGCCCATGACGCCCACCCAACTCCAGCCACACCTGCACCCACCTGGGGGGCCTGGAGGGGAGCTGTGGCGGGAATCAGAAAAAAAACAAATCGGGGAGCCATCGGAACCGAAACTGAAACCGTCAGAACTTAAAAGAAAACCTGAATTTCCTGAACAACCCCACGGAATTAACCCCGGAAATCCCATGCAACATCCCTGGCTCGGGGAGAATAAAGAAAAACGCATCAGAATGAACATGGCTATGCGGCCTGTAAATGGGCATGCCTGAAGCGAATCGTTTGAACGAGTGAAGGTTGGCGGCCGTAAGGAGGCACGGCGATGCGTTACATGCATGCCATTTTTGTTGCGCTTGCACATTCGGGTGGGCTCACTAGCATCGAGTTGCAGCTCGTGCAGAGGTTGTAGTTTCAAGCGGCCACAATCTGCGGAGCGGCGTGCCAAATAGGCTTTGCCGTGACTAATTGCTTACTTGATATGCCACATGCGAATACGTAAGAAGTCAGGTTGGTGGTGTTTGATCTCATGGTCGCTAGTATTGCTGTGGTCTCACATGGCAAGAATAAACGCCACAAACCTACCAGTCTCTTAGACTAATGACTCCTGCAGTCACTTCGTCGCACATGCGACTCAACCATGGAGTAGCCGCCTTCACTTTTGTAAACTGTGCAGGTATGTATCCATCCCCAACAAGGCGAGGGGCGAGCAAAATGATCAGGCAAGCTGTCCGTGTGGACCTGGTCAAACGGACGAGGAAATTGCTCTAGCACTTCCAAGCCTTTTATGGCGAGAGCAGAATGACTTTAAGCTAGGAGCGAAGAGAAACCGATTTCAAGGGCTTATTTGCATGTCAGTGACCTGAAAGTTCCTGCGCTTTTCGAGAGTTTTGTAAGAACTTTCGAAGATTGTTTGTTGTGAGGGTCAGGGGAGGCTACGACTAGGACAGCTACGAACACAAATCGGGGGCCCGGCCAAATCCACGGATAAGAATGTAGAAACCCAGAACTGAGAACAGAAAGCAAACCCCCTGTCCTATGTAAGGCTCCTATCAACTCATCCCTTCAAAGTTAGCCGTAGCGGCAGTGCTGTCGTCAGCTTGGAAGAGATGAGTTTCGCCTCAGTTTTGCAGAAGCAGGGCTCATACATTTGCCTCCATAGCGGTGAAGTAGTATCGATGACCACCCCCCCCCCCCCACTCTGACCCACTCTACAACCAAATATCCGCTGCCTACGGGTCGCTGACAAACTATGGAAAGAGCCTGTCATTTTTGCCGCCAAGCTGAACTTTACGTCGACATTTTATCTATCACACTCCTCTCGGAATTTCCGCCGAAAAGGGCTCTCGCATGCTCAGGGTCGAAGTTGTGAGTGGACTGATCTTTGGCCGAAGTGCTGTCCCAGCTCCATCGTCCACAGAACCCATGCCGGGCAGAAACCTCCAAGGATGTTCAGTGGGATTCAGGAAACATTCGCAGCGTGGCAGCCGTGGCGGCAAGCAACTCTACTGCTGTCAACCTGCACCAACAAACTGTGCCCCTGCTGCTTTGGACCCCGCGGCCTCAGGAGCTTCATCCTTTCAAGTGATAGAATGGCATTGTGGACGAGTCGTAGCTGTTGGAGCTAGGATTGAAGTTGAGAGGTTACGCTCGTCCCTCAACCCAGGCTAGGTGGCTTTAGCAGTATGAGGATGCCCTATCGCAGTGAACGTTGAGGTCAGCTTTGTCTTCAACAGTTGCTGGCCGGACCTTGGGTCCTCAACTTTCAGCACAACAACGTTCCATCGATGTCCTGCACACCCTGCCCCTGCAAAGACAGGCCATTGTGCTTCCCAGACCCCGAAGAGCAAACTGCGGAGAGGGTTCCTTCAACCCCCCCCCCCCCCAACCCCCTGCCCCTTCTCCACGTGAGCCGGGCATCAGTTTCGTGAAGCGACCGGCCCGGGCTCCCAGCTTGGCTATGCGGGCCTCACGTGGCTTTGGAAAACCCCCCTCTTCCCTTACTCTTCAATTTTCAGCTGGGTACCTTCTGAGTTGTGCACCCCAGCAACTCCTCAGCCTTGAAAAGAATTCTCCCCCACGATTCCACCGTGTGTAAGTCTGCAGTCATATCAGGTCTGCGGCTGAGGTGCTGCACGCATGATGATCACGTTGTTGGACACGCTGTCCTCGGCCACCTGGGCTGCTGCTTTGGCAAAGTACGAGGCTTGAGTGTACTGATCCCCCAAACGCTCTGCAGCTACCTTAATTGCTTATGGACAGCGGAGATCTGAGAAGGCCTGCCTCGAAAACATACCCTTGGTGCCAGGCAGGCTCATCTGCGGAGGTGATGTAGGACAGGTCCAACAAGAGCGATGCCTTTAAACTCTCTGCAAAATATTTTCTGCAACAGCAGGAGCCAACTGTCAGGAACCTTGAGGGGGCACGGTGCACAAAGGGAAGAAACACGCGGGCACAGCGTCCAGACTTCGGGGGGAGGAGTGATGATTTCTCGACTCTGCAAAGCTCGGAGCTCCGAGGTCCTTAAGGCACGTGACTCACATGACTGACAGTTGCCTCGAGTTTTTTTTGGGAGTCTCAGATGGACTCCTGGACTCCTGGAGGCCTTTTCAGAGGCTGAGCTATAGCTTCGTTAGAGACTCAAAGCAGGGAAACTGTTGCAGCCAATGCCGACCCAAATGCCGCACCAATCAAATCCTCGGCGAGAAAGCATGAGGACTGCACGTAGCTGGGCAACTTCTACACAGGCGATGGCACGGAATTAGTGAATTCAAAGCACAATTCCGAGCTTCAGAGTTTCTGAGAAGATTCCATTTGTGAGACTTGAGCAGCGGCCCTCCTTGAATCTGATGCAACGTCGTCCAGCTCAGAAAGCTTGACACGCTTCACTACCATTCACTTCACGGCTTGGTGCAAGCCCTGCCCCACTTCCGCGCACATTGTGTATGCGCTGGCAACGAATGGAACCCTCACGATTCAAATCACAAGAAGACACACTTCCTTGGTTGACAGGCGGCCATCCAGAAGAAGAACGAGTTCGGATAGCTCTTCCTGAGTCTTGCACTACAAGCATCCTACAGCTCTGGAGCATATACTTTCAGCCCCGAGCCAGGTCTGCATAGAGCACTGAAGACGGTCACTCACACACACAAACAACATCAGCTTGCCAGTCACCTCTGGCATCTGGCACCTGCCGGTTCTCACACGTCGCCCAACGCACGTCAAGATTTTGCCCACAAATCTGTGGCATGTGCAGCAGAGACTCGGCATGCCAATGGACTGTACAAGCAGCTCGAAGATGAAAGCGACACCAACCTCACAAGCCCCCGAAGCTTGCAACATGCACTTCCTTCAGCACGTTGCGCTCCCGGAGTACGTGGTTGCTTGAGGAGCCGCGCCAGGTAAAAAGTAGAGCAGGGCTATATGACTCCGTGCCTTTTGTTGCAGGCTTCGGGCGTGCTAGATCCGACTTTCCTTACATCCCATCATCTGTCAACACCATACGTTCCTGCGAGAAATTGTTTCCGTGTTATCTTGTTCCCGCTTCGAATCCTCCTTGCACTCTTTGCCCAGAGACAAAGGAACTCTTGTGGTGCACCCATCCGAGCTTTAACCCAACAGTCGGGCACAACACCCATCCAGAGTAGGCCTCTCCTACTTAAGGGAAGGGCACCCGCCGAGGCTCTGTTGCATCCCATTGCACTTCTACCTACTTGCCTCAAGTAACACTTTCCTCTGGCACGCAGGTTCCCCGAGGGGAATGTTCATACATACGTTATGCCTGCGACACAGCCACTCTTTGCCATACGAGCTGCAAATTGGCACGAAGCATATCCTTCACGTTCTACATGCGCTGTGTGCTTGTGGTCTGCTTCTTGGAATTACGCTCCTTCGCTTCATAGGAGTATTTCGCGATTGGGCTACCTGGTTCCATTTTGTAGTCAAATCCACCCTCGCATTGCATGGCTTTTCTGCTGAGACAGCTGCTGCAGTTTTTGCAGCAGCTAGGCGTGCGCAACACTCTTTGCAGTCCCTCCTCCTACTGCTGCTGCTGCTGGACGGAGGAATCGGAACAACCTGCTGACGTTGGAGGTGCGTCCAAAACTTCTCATGGAGAGGTGCTCCTGGAAGACGCGCCTGAGGGACCATGCCGCATGGCTTGGGATGTCACGGTGGAGACGAGCTGAAGCAGTGTCCGAGGGCTTTCTTGACTCAAGTGATTCCAATCGCCTTTCACCTCTGATCCTTGCTTGTTCTCATTGCCTTGTGCGGTTCCTACACTTGTGGTAGGCGCAGAATGCTAAGCAACTGGCAGCGGGCAAGCTGACCACATAAATCAAGAATGCAATAGGATCTTCAGGCCGGTGCTTCTCAGAGAAAACTCCATATACGAAGACGAAAAGCAAATACAAAATGACGGAAACAACGCTCACCAGCAGACAAGCTTGACAATCCTTTCCACATCTGCCAGGCAGATATGACTCACCTATGCCGTATCCATCACGAAGCAATGTGGCAACCCACTTCTGACAGTTGTTAAAGAACAGGTCGTAGTACTCTCCATTCATGTGGTTCTCTGAGCACTTCCGGTGCAGCTCATCTGGTGATGTCATGATCGGCGGGATATCACGGTGCCACAACTGTCGGTACTTCTCTCTCCTTTGGAACTCGCCAAAGTCCTGCACACCTTCCAGGGAACGTATATCCCTGATTCTGTAATTGTTCTCGTTCCACGCCTCACCTCGCCCGTTGACAGCCGTCAACTCGGCGATGAGCACGGTGCCATCTTGAAAATCGAAGGCCGCGGCCCAGTGGAACTGGACCGGACACATGCGGGGCAAACACGTGCCCAGAATGCAGACTTTTGTTGCCCTGGCGTTGGCATCTGGATGGTGCGCATCTGGATTGATGTGTGGGGACAGGCTCACCCTTGATGACCTCCCAGTAAGGAACATCTCCTCCTAGCGCGCCACTCATGGCAACGAAGCTACACAACACGGCAGTACTCACGTAAGCCAGACATGGCCATGAAGTCCGTCAGTCGCAGCTTTCCCTACAACAGCCAACCTGTGCATCAGCGCCGAGCCTGCATCACCAGATTGCGCGTTACCGACCGTGTCATGCTTTGAGCACCAAAAAGGACCAATGCGCTGCTTGCAGGTTGTGGGAATGTATGCAAGTAGCAAGTGTGGATGACGGGACTTTAGGCCAAATACTCTTGTCTTAAAGGGATCCGCAGCCGTCTTTGGCTGTCAGTCAGATGTTCATAAGCAACAGACGGCTTTCGAGAGCGCATGAGGGTACGAAGTCTTACCTGTACCTACTCCAGACACCTTGAAGGCTCATGGCTCCTCCTTATCCTCTGGTTGACCCTCCATAGTACTGAAGTGCAAGGCCGAGGCGCAAGAGTCAGCAAAATGTCCAAGTCATTGTTGTTCGGACGGTCGAAAACTATCCACAGGTCCTCAGAATAGAGGACTCAAGGACTCTACACAGCAGGCCCGGGATGTTGCGGGCACGGGCAAGCGGCTCAAGTCAAGCCAACTAACATGCAACAGGAAACAGCTGTGGCCCTTCACCCCAAGCAGTCTACTTGAGAACGATTGTGCTAACCTGCCCCTCCGACAATGTACCACACACAAAAGATGGCGGACATTTTTTCGCAGTCGTTGACTTGTGGCTGGTTGCAGCACCTTGAAAAATGCCGGAAGCCGGACCATCATGAAACCCAATTGAGCTAGCGCAGCTTTGAACTCTCGTAAAGGAAACCGTGTCGAAGCTACATGAAACAATGGTGACAGCGCTGCGAGGCAGCAGCTGTTTTGCATCGCTGTCAGCAAACCTTTTTGAACCCAGACTCAGACCATCAGCTGGGACCTACGACAATTTTGCGCAGCCCTTGTTTACGAGCGCGATGTTCTGCCGCGGGCAAGAGGCTGGCAAGAACAGCGCCACGAGCAGCGAGATGAACATGCAGAACTGAAAGTACCTCAGGTGAGCATCCATTCATGAAAAGACGCTTGGTTGGTAATTGGTGGAGTGAAAGACCCTAGCCGCCCTGCAGCCTTATCGTCAAACAGCTCACACGAGGTCCTGGAGATGGAGCCCATGGTTCATCAGATGATATGGGGCCTCTTGCGATCTATCAACGACATGGGACACGGGTGGCCCAAGACTCCCAGCACCTGCATGTCTGATGCGCTCTAAGCTCTGTCCCAGCAGCTTGTTCAGCACCAGCTGCCGGCATTTTGGCCCGAGGGCCCCCCGAATCTGAGGGAGGAGGCCTGAGGCTCCAGTTCGGGAGCTCCGATGGTGTGGCAGTCCCCAAGTCCAACCCAGAAGCACAATGCAAAGTGCACAAGAAGAGCCCTTTTGTCCGCAAGGCAAACACTGCAACACACTCCCCGAAGCCACTACTCAACTACTCGCCGGCTGGTCACCAGGTTTGCTCTCCTGGGTGTCGCCAGCACCAGGTGAGTGCCTCGGCCCCGGTCGGCTTCGATTCCAAGTTGAGTCTACGACCAAGTCAATGACGGACTCCGCAAGTTGCACACCTGTTTTCTGGTTTCTTCCGCATGGAGGACAAGCTGCAACATCGGAAACACGTCTCTCGAAACTCTTGCTGCTCGGGCTGGAAACGTGAGTGGCAATGAGAGGTCAGCCGAGCATCGCCGAGGACAGTTGTGGCGGCGCTGAGCCAGGGGGCGCGGGATGAAGAGTTTGCGGCCCTCCATGCAGGCAGGGTGGAGTTTCGCTGTTCAAGGAAGGTTGTTTAATCGCTTACTCTCGAACAAGCCAAGCGACACACAGTCCGGTCTCGGTCTGCAATGTGTGGCACTATAGCCTCTGTGATGCTCTCCTACAACCAGCCTACATCAACCACATCAACCAGTTCCTCAGCTCCTTGGAAGCCTCACTGAGCCTCACTGCGCCAACAACCACGCCCCAATTCTGTTGCTGAGCGGGGGGGCAGGGGGGGGGCGGGGGGGGGGCGGTAATCCCTTCCCGCTTTGACTAAACCCCACCCTAATTTTAAAAGTGTTTTTCCCGGACCCTCCCAACGCCCAGCCCAATACTAAACCTGATTGAGAAGTAGGGGGGGGTTGAGGGCTTCCGCCCTAAACTTAAGCCATTCGACTCTCACACTGGCACAAGCGGGCGAGGCAACTCCTGTCGAGATCTCTAGAGTGGGTGCATTGACCACCAGCAACGAACCAACCAGGGGTCAGCATACCCTTCTCCCACATCTTTCGGGTTTACGGTTCAGGGTCATACCGCAGAAGAGCTGACTCCTGATTAATTCAAACAACGGCAAGGGTTTTCAATTCGGGTTTAGGGCAAAAAGCTCCAAAGGATTTTCAGGGCTTTGGGCTCAAGGCTTAAGGCTACACCCTTAACTGAACCTTAGACCCCAAACCCTATAGGTCGCAGTCACTACCACATCTCTGTCGTTTTCGGCTTTGGGGTTTAGGCTTCGGAGTTCAGGCTTTAGGGTTGAGGTCCCCACTCATTTTTTTCCGGCCGAGGCAAACCTTAGAATTGCGGGGGTGGGTTTTTTGTCTTAGAGGGAAGGGATTGTTTTTGCTTTCAGTTGGCTGTTGCTGCGGGGCGCGCTTGTTTTTGCTGTTGCTGCGGGGCGCGTTGTTTTTTGCTATTGCTGGGCGTGTTTTTGTTTTCTATTGCGCGCTGGCGCGCTGTTGTGGAGCACCCCTTTTTTGCTGTGGTTGCGGGGGACATTTTTTTTAATTGTTGCCGCTGAGAGCACGTGTTTTCAATTTGTTTGCTGTTGTTTTGTGGAAGCCCTGTTTTTGTTGACTGTGAATAGGAAAAGCTGTATTTTCTCTATCTCCGATAGAACACCTGAATTCCTCGTTAGTGCTTTCATAGGAATACCTCTATGTTCTCAAGCTTGCACGGGTTACAGGCCCCCCCCCCATTTGCAAACACGAAAGGATTCGTACATTCTTAATGCAAGTTCTTTTCATGGCATGATCTTCTTTACAAAGCAAGTTGGCACGAGTTAACTAAATGAACAACTCACAGCCCGTGAAGAGTTTGGAAATTTGGAAAGGATTCACTCACTCGCGAGCCCGTGTTTTTATTCTATAGCTGCGGCAGTGAGGGGGGAATTTGGTCGCTGTTATTGCTGTGGGGCGCGGCTTTTGTTTGCGGCTGCTGCGGGTCACTCAAGGTCATTCATTCACTGGCATGCGTCCGCAATGGTCAATCCCATGAGCACGACTGAGTAGACTGGACGATGGCTTCGCTGGGAAAGGGCTGCGGATGCCAGTGACTGATGTGCTTTCACCGCCTGTTGTGAGCTACTGTGACCGCAACTGTGATGTGCAGTAATTAGTTCCGTGTCCGCGTGCATCAGGGCTTCCCACCATTGGCCCGCCCAGTCTCGGACAGACACAGCATGTACAGCACAAAGTTCCCAGAGGACTATGGGCATCAAGTTTCCTGTCTCCCAAACCGCTTATCTCACCATGATCTCAGATTCCTACAAACACAAAGTTCCAAAAAACAGTAACACAGTCTGGGGTGCAGGCTCTAAGTGGGTCCGGGTTTTGATTGCCTTGCTCTCCCGACCATGCCCAACTTTCAAAACGCTTTAGGAATGTAGGCCCGCGAGAATGGCCTGTAGCAGCATCCCGCCCCCGCCTGCTTAATCCCTAAGCCAGCTTCAGCAAAAAGACAAGGACACGGCCTCGGTCAAACTTTGGAGTACTCGCAGGCGATGTGGCTGACACCGGGGTGCCGGACTGAGGACATGGAGAGCGTCTTAGGCAAGGAACGGCTTGGAGGTTGGTTCCGGGGCTTCAGGTTGCGAAGTAGTGACGGGAATGTTGCACGTAGAATCGGAGCTGATACCAAGACCAGGAAGTCTCACGTGGCTGCACAGCTTTGGAGGGCCGCGTCCTGGATCTTGCGACGAGAAATGAACCCCCACCGTCCTCTGCAGCTTCATGAACTGAAGCGGTCATCTTGGGAACCCCCCCTACTACGCTTACGTCCATGCGTCACGACTTGTGTCCGAAGGGTTTGGAACGGCTTGGAACCGCAACCCCGAAGTTCCCCGAGCCTCTACAGAACCCGAAACACACAAACCTTCGAGCCTGCACCCTTCATGCCGGTCATGCCGGTCTTGGAACTCTAAACTCGAAACCTCCCTACAACCTCCCCTGTGGGGCCCCTCTCTCGGACGCCTGCCTGTCTGCTCATCTACTTCAGAGTGCCTAGCTGGGTGGCGACCAAAGAGCGGGTCAAAACAACAACAGCTGAGGCGTACCTGCTACCAGGGCTAGAGACTAGTTTCCTTTGCACTTTAAAGCCCAGTGTCGCCCTACAGTCATGAGGTCGTGCTGCTCTGGAGCGTGGATTTCAAAAAAAGAAACAAGTGTCCTTGCAGACGGCCCAAACAAGCAACGCACAAGAACAGAGTCAGGCTGCCTAAGTGATTCAACTGGTTGAACTCTGCGGGATACACATGAGTCACATGACTCACATGACTCACATGACCAGGTAAAGCACAGAAGACGAAAGGATGAAGCAGGGCCTCTGGAACCTCTGATGTACACTGTCGAATGTTGCGACCTCCGCGTCGTGACACCTCTGCCTCTGCCCAGGATCAATATCCAAGCCACACCGCACGGCTTTGAAGCAGCTAGAACTCAAACTTCGCAAAAAACCCGAACCTCAGCGGGAGCCTCAAAGACCTCTCTCTATGCCTGAGGGATTTCTGCATGTCGGCTGCAGGCCTCAGGCTTCTGATTTGTGACCTGCTCTGTCGGGGCGCGGGCTCGACCTCGATTCAAGCTCGTCGACGTCCCCTGAAACGCCCCGAATCCCGACAAGGGGACTCGGCTCTCCCAGTTCCGGAGATTAGGTCTCTTCTGCAGGTGCTGGGCGTGGTGATTTAATGTTCGCCACACACAAGCAGCTTAAGCTCACA